TCTCTCTGATCCTGGCTCCTCATTGTTAAGTAGAGGAAATAATGTCCCCTACTCTTCTCCTGAGGCTGAGAGGAGTAACCGGAAGCTGGATGGCAGTGCCCTGGAAACTGTAGAGGGCTGTCCGCTCTGACACTTTGCAGCAGGCTAGTTGGCAGTTACTGTGCTCACGGGACCCTCTGACACTGAGGAGAGTCAAGGAAGCAGAGTGACTCGCCCAGGCCTCTCTCCCTCTGACCCCCTCTCCTCATCCCAAGATAAGTGCAGTCACACAAAGGTAACCCTGTGCAAGGGTCCCTGTCCTTGGGAAGCCCCAGATGAGCGGGAGGGACACATCCAGAATTGGAGTGTGTGGTCAGGACGGGGCACAGACTGCTCAGGGACTGCGGGAGCACGGGGCATACCCAACCCCAACCCCAGCCCCCCACCGGGCAGGGCACACACTATACAGAATGCCAGGGCAGTGCACAGGTGACACTGTGATAAACAAGACAGAGAAAAGCCGGGCAGGCACCAGTGATGCTTGTTAGTGCAAAACAATGATAGATCTTTGTTCACAGATCTTTGATTTGTTGGTAGAAGAGGAAGGTCGGTAGGTAAACTTGTTCCTGCAAGAGGAATTCGTTGATCTGTTGAGTGGAAATTGCTAGTTCGTGTGTGTGTATGTCTCTCTCCCAGGCCTGGCCTGGGGTCTCACCAAAAGGTGCTATGGAGCCCTCAGGGCTAGTCCCTTCCCTTTCTGGACCTCAGTGTATGTGTCTGGCAAATGGGGAGAACCCCTCCCTCTAGGGAGGGATGAGACAGTCTTAGGGGTACGGAAGAGGGCACTGAGCGGGTGGATGGGGTGGATTGGCCAAGTCAGGGTCTGGCCCCAAGCAGCCAGGAGGTCTGGCTCAGAGGAGATGAGGAGGAGAGAAAACTAACATCAGGGAGCAGGGTCAGGAGGCCTGGGGTCCAGTTCTGACTGTGCCGCTGACCCGAGGAGTCAGCCTGGCTAGACCTTGGTTTCCCCCCCTGTGCAGGGAGGGGCCTGGATGGACAATTTCCTCTTTCACCCGAGCAAACGAGGCAGGCAGGGAGGGGTGGGCTCCCATGCTGTCCCTATCTGATGGCTGCTGCCACCCCAGTCTCACTGTCCACCTCAGTCCTTGATTAAGAGGTGGGCGGGTGGGGTAGGAGTGTGGCACTCTCTGTAAACAAAGCCAAGATGACGAGGCCATAAATTGCTGAGAGTCTTGAGTCATCAACTGGGTGGGGGCAGACTGCAGAACCAGGCGACTGGGAGAGAGTTGCTAACCTGGGCGATGGGGCCGGTCCTTCTGCAAACTGCAGCCCAGCCTGTGCTCAGCCCGCCTGCCACTAATACTAAGTGTCCCCATCAGGACGTGCTGAGCTCTCACTCTGCACACAGAACTTTGGTCATAGCCTCATGTGACCCTTGCATCAACCTGATGCATCAACCTGCTGATGAGGGGCATGCAGTTATCACCCCCACTTTGTGGGTGCGGAAACTCTGGTAGGTCACCCTCCCAGGGCCGCTGGGTGAGACCGAGGGAGAGTCTTGGTCTGACACAGCTCTGGGGTCTCCAGCCCAGCAGCTGATCCGCAGCTGCCTTGGCCAAGCCTGGGACTCAGAAGTCAGGCCCCTGGTGAGCCTGACGCCCGCCTCCCCAGCCCATCTGAGAGGGAGAGTGCTTTGATTTCCTAGTAAACACCGGGACAGAGCTCTCTGACTACAGGTCCCCTCCCCAGGCCCACCAGGGACATTTGAGAGTGCAAGTGAGGCCCACATGCCATGTGTCTAGACCCCAAGTAATGAAAGTTATAAATCAAGCCGAAGCCAGCAAACTGTTAAACACGTTCTGCTCCTCCACCTTGACAAACACCTGTGAACAAGCTCGCCGAACCCTCAGAGCACAGGGACAGCGCTCCCAGCCCGGCCTCGTCCCACCCCTTCCCTTTCTCTTCGCCTTGCTCAGTGTCAGACTTTGTGGGATATTCGAGAGCACAGGGCTACACTGCCACCTTCAGGAGGACAGGCCCTGCAAGCAGGAGGGAATTCGGTCCCGGTTACCCTGGGTGTGGTCCAAAGGGGGCACAGGCTCTGGGTGTGCATGTCCTCTGGACCCCACCAACTCTGCCCTCTGAGGAGGACCAGGGTGGGACCTTGGAACACACAGGGCCAGGGCTAAGGACAGAGCTGTCCCTCCCCCAGCCCAGGGACTCTGTCAGGGTGTGCCCCTGCACTCAGATTAAATGCCTTTCAGTGCAATCCAATTTCCTCCTGACACATGGACTAGAAAGGCCCAGTCCACGCGCACACACACATACACACAAACACACATACACACAAACACACGCACACCACGTTTGGTGCTAAATATCCCATCAAGTCCACAGATAATAGAGAACAGCCAGTTCACTCCCAGTTTAATCAGATAAAATAGCCATTCATAGGCTCCTGCCAGCGCAGACATCTCCCCTTAGGATGGCGGGGAGGGGCTGGGAGAGAAAGGGGGAGATCCGAGTGGCTGCAGTGTGTGGGCTATGCCTTTAAATCTTCAAGGAGGGGGGACAGTTGTCCACGTGGGACTAATTATCCTTCAGCCTTTAGCCAGTGCTACTCAAACAGACAAAGGGGGCTCAGCAGCCCGGGTGGCATGGCGGTGGCCTCAGCCTCCTCAGCAGAAAGAATGAGTTCACTCTCAGATATGCAAATCCGCCTCGGAGGGGTGGGCCCTGCAGAGGGCTGGCTGGGGCCGGGATCTGGAAGGCCAGGAGAGGGCAATGGCGCTGGACCCTCAGAGGACTAGTTTGGGAGACTGGAGGCATCTCACTATTTCTCCCCCGGCTGGGGAGCCCGCCCAGCCCCGCTTGGCCAGTTGGGGTCTCACAGAGGTGAGAGGCAGACCGCTCCCTCCCGCCTTCTCCTTTGTGTGGTGGGGGCTCCCATGGGGCCACTCAGGGTGGGGAGCTGGCAGCCCCTTCTCCCTAGGACACAGCCCCAGCTGACCTGTCCCCAGCACAAATCTAGGTAAGCTGCCCCTGCCCTGAGCCCATCTACGGCTCCCTTACCTGCGCCGTGAGCCCCTCAGGCTGATGCACACTGGGTCCACTGAAGCCTGTGCCCTGAGCCTTTACTCGAGCCCAGAATATTCTACAGCCACCCAGCCCTGATGTGCTTGCTCACAGCTCCAGGGCTTTGCTCCGCCTTGTATCCCCTCACCCCTCCATCCCAGGTGCCTGGCACACAATAGGTATTCCATAAGTGTGTGCCCACTGTATGCAGAAAATGCTCCTTCCTAAGCAACTAACGTGGACGGTCTGGACCACAGAGGAGATGTTTGCTTCCGACTCAGCTCTCAGCCGGCACCTACAGGAACCTCAGTCTTTATAGCTGTGAAATGGGGATAGTGCTAACCCTTACCCTACAGCCTGGCTGTGAAACTCTCGTGGTGCCTGGAGAGGGCTCTGTGAGCTATGAAGAGCCTCTCGTGCCTTATCTTCCCAGCAGAGGGTACGGAGGACAGTGTCAGAGAGTTGGACCAGTTCCCATCTCTCCTTGCCCCTCCAAGGCACTCATGTCACACAGCCATCAGCCACTCCCTTGAGGAATCTATTGAGTCTCTACCCTACCCAGTCCAGACTCCCCCATGTCCTCTACCAGCCGCCTCGGCAGGGAGCGGGCAGGGAGCGGGCAGGGAGCGGCAGGGAGCGGGCAGGGAGCGGGCAGGGAGCGGGCAGGGAGCGGGCAGGGAGCTTACAGACTCCAAGCCAGCAGTGCAGCGCAGCAACCAGAGAGGTGGGCGTGGTGCAGGCCTGGCTAATCAGGATTGGAACCCTGAGACTGACCCGGCGCCCTGGGTGGGCATGGGCAGGGCCACCCAAGAGACTCAGTGGGGAGGGTACTCCAGGCTGGCCCCATAGAGCCCCCCCCCCCTCCTTGCCACCTGTGTCTGTGAGGGTCTGGGCCCTGGAGTTCCGTTGCTTGGGAAGCAGACAAGAGCTGGGCGGTGGTTAAGGCTGAAGGAGGGTGCAGAGAAGCGGTGGGGGAGGGCAATTCGTGGGGGGACAGTGGCCAAAATGCTGCGTGACAAGCTGGGGGAGATAGGCTCTGAAAGGAACGACTGCCTTGAGCTCCAGTCTCAAAAGGCAAAGTTGAGCACAGAGACTTCTGGAAGCATTGCCCAGGTTTCAGAAAGCAGAAATTGTGAAGCTGTGGGGTGACCTGGAGCCAGACAGAAATGGAGTGTTTCAGCAGCACAGGGCTGGGAAGGAGGCTCTGGCTGGGCTGGAGGCAGGAAGGGTAAACCAGCCGCGGGGGTTGAGCCACTGGGGATGGGTTGGGAGGGAGCATACCCTGCCCACACCTACAAAAGCTATGAATGGGACTTGAGAGGCAGAGACAGGTGGGTGGGCTTCCAGAGATGGGGGGCCTATGCACGCCCCACCCCAGGGCAGGCCGCCCCAGGCAGCACCCTAAGGATTGCCCCGCTGCACCAGCCTCCCTCTGCTCCTCCCGGCAAACCAGGCCTGGGCCTTGGGAACAGAGAATGCTCCCTCTCCACTGGCCCTCCCAGTGCTGGCTTTACAGGGCGCAGGTGAGACCCACCTCCGGCTCACCTGTTACAGCTGAGCTCCCTGGCCCAGCCCCTGCCCCACCCACTGTCCCACCCATGGATCAAGGTGGTCTAGGCCCTGGGATTCCCCAAGAGGCCCAGATGCTTAGCCAGGGCTTCTTCCTGGCAGGTGTCCCCGATCTCTCCCCTCCACAGCCCCTGCCCCAGGGCTTTCCCCCTGCTGGGTGGGGACAGTGAACAGAAGCAGTGGGCACACAGCTTCCTAAAAATAAGGGACGGAGGAGGGTAGAAATGACAGCCTGGAATTAAGCGTGGAGAGCACACTAATCTAAGAGACGATGCTCTAAACCGTGGGATCGCGGCCCTCCGGGACGCACCTAACACACCTGCGGTCGGGCAAACGTGGTTCGCTGACTCGTTGTAGCAAGGGGTGCGACCACAGGGAGCTGTGGGCATCTCAGGAAGAGCAAGTTGGAAAGGATGTAAAGGATCAGGTTGGCATTGGGTGATTTGGGGAAGGGTTGAAGGAAGCAGGGCCCTGCTCGGCTGGGTGCTCTTGGGAGGCAGGTACTTCTACGAGAGCCACAGTGACCCTTGTCTAGAAGGCAGGAGCAATGAAGGGAGCCAGGAAAGGGAGACGCTTGGTCTTCTCCATGGTTCGGACAATGTCCATGCCTTACCTGTGTTCACACATGCTACAGAGTGGCCGGAGAGTGGCCTTGTATAATGCTGACATTATGTTCAGCAGGAGACCACCAGGGTCCAGCTGTGGCCGGCCATCAGGGGCTGCTTTCCTTTCTTGGTAGCTTCAGGCAATGACTGAGGAGAGAGGGAAGGGACACGCGTCACTCACATCCCACTGCCAGGTGCAGGGCTCAGCACTGGACAGACTTGCTCACTTAATCTTCACCGCCACCCTCTGCCCATCCTACAGGCAGGGAAACTGAGGCTCAGAGAGGCAAGATGCTTATCAGAGCTGAGAGGAACCAGCAAAATTGGAAGTAACCAGAGTTCTCTGTCTCCAAAGTCCCTTCCCACCCCTGCCCTTGCCTGGAGGCTGCCCCTGCACCCGAGTAGGGCCCACGGCCCTGCCTGCATCCCCAGTGTCCCACCTGTGTCCCCACGGCCCCCCCTGCATCCCCAGTGTCCCACCTGTGTCCCCACGGCCCCGTCTGTGTCCCCAGTGTCCCGCCTGCGTCCCCAGTGTCCCACTTGTGTCCCCACGGCCCCGCCTGTGTCCCCAGAGTCCCGCCTGCATCCCCAGTGTCCCGCCTGTGTCCCCAGTGTCCCGCCTGTGCCCCCACGGCCCCGCCTGTGTCCCCACGGCCCCGCCTGTGTCCCCAGTGTCCCGCCTGCGTCCCCAGTGTCCCGCCTGTGCCCCCACGGCCCTGCCTGTGTCCCCAGTCTCCCGCCTGTGTCCCCAGTCTCCTGCCCGTGTCCCCAGTGTCCCACCTGTGTCCCCACGGCCCCGCCTGTGTCCCCAGAGTCCAGCCTGTGTCCCCAGCATCCCACCTGTGCCCCCACGGCCCCGCCTGTGTCCCCAGCGTCCAGCCTGTGTCCCCAGCATCCCGCCTGTGTCCCCAGCGTCCCGCCTGTGTCCCCAGCGTCCAGCATGTGTCCCCACGGCCCCGCCTGTGTCCCCAGCGTCCAGCCTGTGTCCCCAGCGTCCAGCGTGTGTCCCCAGTGTCCAGCCTGTGTCCCCAGCGTTCAGCCTGTGTCCCCAGCATCCAGCCTGTGTCCCCAGCGTCCAGCCTGTGTCCCCAACGTCCAGCCTGTGTCCCCAGCATCCAGCCTGTGTCCCCACGGCCCCACCTGTGTCCCCAGCATCCAGCCTGTGTCCCCATCATCCAGCCTATGTCCCCACACCCCCGCTTGTGTCCCCAGCGTCCAGCCTGTGTCCCCAGCATCCAGCCTGTGCTCCCAGCATCCGCCCTGTGTCCCCACAGCCCCGCCTGTGTCCCCACGGCCCCGCCTGTGTCCCCAGTGTCCAGCCTGTGTCCCCAGCATCCAGCCTGTGTCCCCAGCCTGTGTCCCCACGGCCCCGCCTGTGTCCCCAGCGTCCAGCCTGTGTCCCCACAGCCCCGCCTGTGTCCCCAGCATCCCTGGGTCTCCTGTGCCTAGAGGTGTGAAGGGTAATGAGGGCCCGTAATTAAGGTTTCTGGAGACGTGGCCGGGAGATTTATAGACAGGCCCCGTCAATAACCGTGCTGCGGCTGCAGGCAGCGAGACATCGATAAGCGCTCATTACGGCTTTCCAGCTCCCCGCCCTGCCCCCGCCAGCCCCTCCGAAGCTGTCAGCGCCTGTTCGCAGCGCCTATGTACACAGGCTTCGCTCAATTAATTTGCACTTGTTGGCACCATCTGTTCTTTTCATGTGTCCTTACCGGGAGTGTGTGCGTCCTGCCTCCTCCGCAGATGTGCTCCAGAGCAGGCACGGGCAGCCCTCCTCCTTGTACAAACTGGGGCTCCCTGGGCAGGGTCACGTCTCCCCCTCAGACTGGGTCTTCTCAGGGTGGCGTGCTGTCTCCCCCGAGGTCTAGGACCCCTGAAGACAAGGCCAAGTCTTCCTCCTCCTTCCTTTCTTTCCCCTACCTTTGTCCCTCCCCCTGGTGAGCCAAGCATGGCCTGAGCCCCTCGCAAACCCCTCTGAGCCTGAGCCCACCAGTCAGGGCTTCAGCCCTCCAGAGGAAGCTCCCTACCCCAAATCACCCTCCCTTGGAAGACTGGCTGCCCCTGGGTGCTGGGAGGCAGGGCTTCGGTTCTGGTCCTAGCTCTGGCTCCCGCTGCCTGAGGTTTGGCAGGTTGCTGTCCAAGAACAGTGACGTCTTTGAGTCACAGGGTTGGAAAGGGGCTAAGAAGCCACTTGCAAGTCTCTGTTTCCTTTGAGCGGCATCTGTCAAGGGTGGCACAGGAGCCTAGACTTGGATAGCTCCCAGAGTGGGGTGAGTCACAGCCTGGTGGCTCCAGGATGCCAGGGCAGGTGGCCCACCCAGAGAACTGAGAAAAGGCAGCATCTCAAGGACACCTGCCCTTGGCTGTCTCCCCATCCTGAGGCTTTTGGCAGCCAACAGCCCCACCTACTCTGCTCTGGGCCAGTCTCTCCTCCAGAAGGTCTTTCGGTCCCTTCCAAGTCTGATAGACTGTGCTTCTGGCCCTGAGCACAGATTTCTGACCCTGGAGGGCTACGAATACTGAGCTAGACCAGCCACGAAAGTTCCGTGGGAGGCCAGGCAACCTCTTGCCCTCCCTGGGCTCTGGGTGCTGCATAGCCACTGGGTTTGTTTACAAGGCAACCAGGCCTTACACTGGGAGGGTCTTTGGGAATTCACAGGCATGCCGGTGCCAGCATCTGGCTCTGGCCCCACCCGCTTCACCTGATTCTAATAGGCTCTATGCCCAGCCTTAGCCTGGCACCCAAGGCCCCCATGACCAGGCCCTGCAGCTGCTGCAGGCTCCTCTCCACACGTCCTGTCTGCCAGGCTCACCCCAGTGCACCATGCTGCTTCTCACTTTCCCACCTTTGCTCCTGATCTTCCTTCTGCTGGGACTGTACCCCTTCCTCACACATCTATCACCTAACAAACTTCTACTCACCCTTCAAAACCCATCTCCAGTTCTGACATGCCTTCCAGTGCACCCCTGCTTACACCCGAGGTGGGGAAGGGCTGGCTGAGGGGCTGCCCCACTACTGCATTCACCATATGATTTGTCCTGCTGCCACATCCAGCAGGATGCATGCTCCTCAAGGACAGAGACTAAGCTTTGGTCTCATCTGTGTCCACTGTGCCAGGCACAGGGCCTGGACCAATTGGGTTGTCAGATAGCAGGTATTGAACCGAAGGGACCCTAGTGTCCTTGGCCTGGGTTGGGGAAAAGCAATGCTCACACCCCCCCTTGTAGATGGGAGAAGACATTCCTCTTGTCACCCTGGCTGCCCACTGTTAAGGTCATGGGGACCTCAGGCCAGGCAGTGGATCCAGTTAGGACCAAAGGCAGATGCACACTGTGCAGTACACAAGGAGGGGCCTTAACCAAGTTCCTGTCCTCCCTCACCGCTCCCAGCCCTACCCTGGGCCCCTGTGTGCATGTCATTGGCATCACAGCGAGGCCTTTCCTGGGGTCAGGATCTGGCTGGGGCTGTGAGTGGGGTGGGGCAGTGTAGTTCTTGGCCCTCATGAGTCTTGCAGGCTCAGTGGTGCATTCCTGCCAAAAGAGGGTTTTAGAAATGGAGGGCCATGTTCCCCTGGCACGTGTCCCGCCTCTAGGTGCTGGTGTTTCTCACCTCATGTGGCCCATGTGTGGGGACACAGAACTCCAGGTGCCCATAAGTCCCCTCCAAGGCTGGAGCAGAGGCCCTCAGCCAGGCAGGGCCCAAAAGAATCTGACAACACACCAAAAGCAATGGTAAACACTGCCTCAGACCTGTCTCCTGTCCTCCCCCTTGTGTCCAATGTACTGGCTTTATTGCAGGAAGTGACAGGATGCAGGACAGCTGCAGAAGGTGTGAGCCAGACATGCATGAGCCCCTAGGATCAGGGGAACGGCACAGACAGTGGGGCTCCAGGAGATGGGTGTGGGGCCCAGGGGAAGCCACTATGAGGGACCAGGAAGACATCTGGACCTTCTGGCAAGGCTGGCTTGAGACTCTCCTGCCAGCAGCTGAGCATGGTTACCAATGTCCTGCATGCCCCTCCTGGGTTCAGCTAGCCTTGGGCCCTGCAACGGGGAGACCCTGGCCCTGTGAGTGAGGAAGCTGGAAGCATGAGCCTTGCCCTGGTGTACTTGAGGGCCAAGGCCAAGGCTGGTGGAGAACAAGAGATCCAGCACCAGGGTCTGGGTGGTGGCTAAGAGCGCAGGCTGCAGCCAGCTCCCCCACTCAGACAGGTTCTGCGACCTCAGGCATCACTCTTCTCTGGGGAATGGGCAGAAGCTACTTTATTAGGTTACTGGAAGGACAGGTTCGATTGATCAGCTCATGGTGAGCTCTTGTTACCTGGTTCATGCTCCGGAAATTCAGAAAGGAGGCCAGGGCGAGTGGGAAAGCCTTCCTTCATCGGGAGGCAGTAGGATGCAGGATGGATCTGCAGAGGCGGGATGAGGGCGCCTCCTTCCTGCTGGTGGAGGAATTGCGTGAGGAAAGGCACAGAGGCAGGAGGACCAGACCTGTGTGTGCCCCAAAAGGTTCTGAGGCTGCAGCCAGTGGCTGGTGGAAAGGGAGCTGCACTATGAGGCTTGGGGTGGGGGTGAGGCCAGGAGCACAGGGGACCTTGACCGCAGAGCTGGTGAAGCAAATGCGAACAAAGCCCCCAACACCACCGGGCATCTCTGTACTGCCCCCACCTCGACCCCAGCCCAGTGCCTGCCCGGCTCCCTGGGACTCCCTGAAGAAGGACATCCCCAGCCCCACAAAGAACACTAGTCTTTACATAGCAATATTTTGGGGGTGTCTTGCTGTGCTTTAAAGGGTGGGGAAGGAACTGGGGGGCTTGTTAGGACCCATTTTACAGATAAAATGCCTGAGAAAGGGTGAGTCCCTGGGGCCTGCTCAAGGGCTCTCCCACCCTCTCAGCAGCCCACACTTGTTCGGTGTCCCTGCAGTGATGAACCCCTGGGGGTCCACCTCCTCCCGCCCCCCAGAGCCAGGCTGGAAGACGGCCATGTCTGGGGCCTGGCTGAGCTCAGAGGAGGCCTCCACGTGGTGCATTATTGATGGGGCTTCTAATTGTGTGTTTCCCAAAGTCTACAGGCTTTTGATGAAAAATTCATGGCATGCCCGCGGATGGGAGCAGATTCAATCGATTGGAGCACGGCAGGCGCAGGAGGACTGGGCCCCTTGCAGGGAGGGGCTGCTGAGAGCTGGGCTGGGGGGATCAGTTGGCGTCGCCATCCTCCCAGGCTTCTGGCCCCCAGGTGTGGGATGGGAACGGCACGCACAGCAGGAGGCAGCAGCCGTGCCTGGAAGGGAGTCTGAGGCTGGGATCGGTAAGGTCGAGGGCCCACATCCAGGCTGCCCGTGGGGTAACTGGCGTCATCCGGGGAGAGTGGCCAGCACCACCAAGCACCTCACTGTCATTTCCCTAGGGGAGCCTTAGAGCCCCTCACGAGGGCTGCACAGAGGAGGGAGCACTGTTTCCAGAGCCGCTCTTATGGCCAGGCACTGTGCTTGGAGCTTCACGCCCACAGCCTCATTTGACCCCCCAACAGCGCTGTGAGACGGGCACAGGGAGGTGCTCCATTTCACAGAGGGGGAAACTGAGGCTCAGAGAAGTTAAGTGACCTGTCCGAAGTCATTCAGCCGATTGGCAGCAGAGCCCACTCTCTCTCCACTCCACCGGGCCAGCTAAAATAGGAGCGACAAAGCGGCGTGGGGAGGGTCTTGTGGAGCCCCGGCCCAACCCTGTCGCTCAGAGGAAGAGACCCCACTAAAAAAGTCAACTGTGTGCAAAACGGGGCCTGCAGGTGAGAGGAAGGGCCCCTGCGCCGCTGACAGAGGACAGGGCCCACCCAAGTAGAGTGCTAGGTAGGCACCACGGCCAGGGGTAGGGATTGTGAACAGGTAGCGACGTCTCTCGGGGGTCATTATTGTGCCACCACTGAGGCCCCAGAGAACCCTGTCAGCCAGGCATTCATTCACTAAATAAGTAAACAAATATCTGTGCAGTCCCAATGCTGGGCAGGCGTCTCGCCAGGCCCCGATTGAGGGGCGCGTCACGAAAGGCTCTGGGACCAAGCTTGGCTGGCACAGAGGCTGGGCCCCGCGCGGCTGGGGAGAAGGCCACAGACCTTCCGTGCCCTCGGAGGAGGCCTCTGCAAGCCAGGCCTGGCCAGCTCTGCCTTCACGGCCAACGCCGCCGTTTCTAGGTGGTGGGCTGGCTTGTTTGGGTTTGTTTTCCCTTTACTTCCCAGTGAGTTCCTTTTAAAAACATCCACCCATGTCTCTGCTGAACTAAAGGGAAAGGAATTTGTCCGGAGCCCCAGGAAAGCAGAGCTGGGAAGGCCCCGAGGGCCAGGCGGGGCCCAAGCTGTGCAGCTGCAGGAGGAGAGCGGGCCAGCCTAGGCTGCTGCGGGCAGGCGCTCCTGAGGGGACAGGGAGATTGAGGAGCAGAGAGAGAGGAGACTGGGGGGCACAGGGAGACTCAGGGACAGAGGGCGAGGCTGAGGGGCAGAGACAGGGCAGACAGGGTATGGGCTGAGCCAGGGGCACAGAAGGGGAGGGCGGCCAAGGTCATCTAGGGGCAGCTGAGCCTGAAGCTGGGGAAGTCTGAAGGCCACAGCCCTGAAGGGCCCCGATGCCCTCCCTGGCCCTGCTGTCTCCTTGCTGTTCCTGGCCAAGGAATGAGCCTAGCCTGATCTCAGCCACCCCACCCAGGTGCCCCCACCATGGAACAAAGAGGAAGTGGCCCTATGGTCCTGCCTGCTTCCAGCTCAGGGCAGGGCTCAGTCACCAGGCAGGCACTTGTTGTAGCAACAGTCCCTGGGGACCCACCCTGGGAAAGAGGACTGCTAGCAGTAAAGATGGGGGACCCAGGGTCCTCACCCCCTGCAGCCCCCAAGGTTGTCTTGGGCCTCGTGAACAGCTGCTCTGTAAGTTGCCCCCACACCCACTGGTTCTGGAAGGATGGGTTGGCTCACCTAGAAGGCAGGTGTGTTGGGCGTGTTGCTGGGCAACCCACAGAGGTATTCCCAGAGCCTGTGCAAGTGGGACGTAGGGTGGGAGAGGACCGGAACATTGGGCCCTAGATGCTCATGGTCACGGGAACCTTCTCTGGGGCTCCCCAAGCCCCAGCTGGGCCCACTTGAGCCCCCTCCCCAGAGGGGGAGGAGAGAAGGGCTTCTGGGAAAATCCCTTACCGCGACCATTTTCTCCTGCTAACCCGGCCCTAGCTCTGGCGTCCTGGAGGTCCAGCCCCAGGTCCTGGAAGGGGCTGGGCCTGGGCTAGTCTGGGAAGGCTTGCTGGCGGTGCAGGGCGTGGTGCAGGCAGATGCGGGCAGCCACGAGAAAGCAGAGCAGCCCTAGGCCAGGGGCTTCGGCTGCCTCAGTTAGGGATAAGCTTTCTCATGCACAGCGCAGTTGCCAAAGCATTTCCTCTTGCGATGTGGCAAGAATCCCTGAGCACAACCCGGCAGGTCCTCCCCACCCCGCCGTGCAGACGACAGGGCACAAGGTGGGCGAGGGCCTGGCTCCAGCCTGCACAGCAGCTGTGGGCAGGGGTAGGTCAGAACCCACGTTCCCCAGCCAGGGCTCCTCCCTGCCGCCATGTGGGGCCTTCCAGAGGCAGGAAGCTCTAACCAGAGGGATTCTGGCAGGAGGTGACCAGTGGGGAATGGCTCTTTGGGGGAGAGTGAGCAGGGCCTGTGAGACCAGGGCTGGGGTCCCCACACCACCCCCTGAGTGCCCAGCCCCATCCTTCCCTGGGCTGGGGGCAAGGGCTGGCCCCAAGCCACTGTCAGCGGAGGCAGGACTCTGAGCCACATGCCTGAGGAGAAGTGACTGATGGCTGGGCTTGGGGTGGCCCAGGGGTCTTCCTGGAGGAGGAGGGCCCAGAGTGGAGCCTTGGGTTGAGGAGTTCAGGAAGGCCTGGGAGGGAGATGGGAATTGGAAGACTGCACCTTCCAGGAAGCCCCACCCCCACCACAGCGCCATTGCCCACACCAGGCCCAATTAGCACCCGGCTCCTGCAGGGGCCAATTAGACAAGGCTGGGGTCAGCTGCAGGCCAAGGTCCTGCCACCCCTCAGAACTTCACCAAGCCAAGCACAAAAGCTTTCTAGGCACCACCACTGCTGCAGCAGGAAGGGGAAAAAAGCACAGAATAATGGGAAAATGCACCCCTTTTGTTTCTTTGCTATTATCTTGGGCTGAACAAAGAAGCAACTGCCTCCCCTCCCTGGGAGGGCAGCTTCCATAGAGCAGGGAATCTGCTTTAAGCAGCAATTTGCACAGATTCCTTGTGGCTGGGAGGCCCAGAAGACATTCGAGGCGAACCAGGAGCAGGGATCTGGGGTGAGCAGGGTCCTGGTTCTAGAACCTTCTGTGACTCCTGACTGCTCTAGGTTCAGAAGCAGAGCTTCCTGGCCTGGCACTCAAGACACCGCCAGTCCGGCTGGCCGGAGCGAGGCCTGCTCCAGCTCCCTCCATGCAGCAGGCCGAGGTGTTTGCTGCCTCCAAAGCGTCCAGGCCCGCGTCAGCCCCCACAGCTTTGCTCGGGCTGCTGGCTCTCCACACCTCAGGCCCCACCCAGTCCGACCAAATCTCACCTGTGCCTCAAAGGTCCAGCTCCACCCCTCCCCTGCTGCGGCCCCTCCCCCGGGACGTACACTGGGAGGTGTGAGCTGTGTCCCCTAGCAGGCCCCTCCTACTCTCAGGGGAGGGGTCTCCCCACCCCCCAACAGAGCTGAGCCTAGGGGTGGAAACGCTGCTGCCACCCTTGCTGGGCAGCAGGCCGAAGGCAGATATATACCAAGACAGAGTCCGGAATGGGGCTTGGGACACTGGGGCCCCCTGGGGTCGGAGAAGGGGCCCGCCAGTGCCTCCTCCAGACTGCCACCTCCAGGCAAGCCCATCGCAGAGACCTCTCTGCCCACACCTCCCCAGCCCCACCCCTGTGCCTTGGACCACAGCTCTCACTCGGCCACGCCCTTGCTGCCTCAGTGTCCCCACTGCCCAGAGGCTCGCCGTCCTCCCTTGCCTGCCCTCTGCTGGTGATGCGGTTCAAAGTGAATGGAGGGAAAGAAAGAAACCTGTTCCTGCGGCCAGTGCATTCTGTTGTCATAGGGCCCCACAGCGGGTGGGAAGGGAGAGGGGCCAGGCACACAGTGGCATTGGCCTGGGTGTTTCCAGGAGTAAAGGGGCTGCTTAACCGCAGTAGGCCCGTCTCTTTCAGCAGAGCTTTGGGCCCAGCCCCCACCCTCTCCCTCAGATCTGGGCTCCTGCTCCCAGATCTCTGGGACGGGGGGAGGCCAGCACCAGTTTTCAAGCTGAATGTTTCCATTTATTTAAAAGAAATAAATTCCCTTTAAAGGTGCTGGTAACCGAGATAGCCAAGCGAGGCCTCTGACATTCTGAGAGGCCCGCAGGAGTGCTGCCTGTCAGTGGTGGGAATCTGGCTGGAGCAGGTCAAGGGTCCGCCTGAGGAGGTCGGAGGGGCAGGAGGCCCTCCCTGCTGTCGGGGTCTCCCGGAGCTGGAGGAGCGTGTAGGTGGCCCCTGAGCAGTGGGCAGTGCCGGGCTGGTGTGGGTCAGGGAGGGCTTCTTGGCACAGGTCGGTATGCTTTGAGGATTGAAAGGAACCGGGCCCCTGGGGGGAGTGGCCAGGGCTGAATCCGGAAAGGGGTCTAGTTACGCCAGGATGGACCGCCTTGAAGTTCCAAGTTGGAAGTTTATCACCAGAGCAGCGGGAGCCATTAGAGGGGCCTGAGAGGTCAGGGAGAATGTTCCAGTTACCCACTGTTGCATAACCAACTACGCCAAAACGTAGTTTAAAACAATAATGTTTTCTTTCATACATCCCATAGTTTTGCGGGTCAGGAACTCAGCCAAGCAGAGCAGGGTGGGCTCGTCTCTACTCCACAGCTCAGAGTCCTCAGCAGCTTGGGGCTGGTGGGCCTCGCCCTCTGCCGCACGGTTAGTTCGGGCCTCCTCCGTCTCGGGGCAGCAGGAAGGCAGCAGGAAGGCAGCAGGTGGCAGGGAAGAGTTGGGGTCACTTCAAGATGGGTCTTGTGCCAATCCCCTATCCTCCCCACCCAGGCTCACTGTCTTCCCTGGGGTTGGCCCAGGACAGAGGCTCTGGCTGAGGTTCAAGTTTCACTGTATGACCTTGAGCAAGTCACTGCGCCTCTCTGGCCCCATCATCAGAACCTCTGAGATGGGAGTTCCTGGGCTAAGGGCTTGGAAGGCAGGGCGGACTTCCTGGAGGCAGGTCATGTGCACCTGGGGCTGGGGAGCAAGGCACCCCAGTCCATGTCTTCCCACAACATGAGCTGCGGGGCGCTCAGGCTGGCCTCATCCTCCGCAGGCTGAAGCTGGAGTGTCCGTGGGACGCGGCTGCCCTCTGCCGGCTGCAAGGCAAACACATGCAGCTGGCCGGGGCCTGCCGCCATGGATCCTCCTGGCCTGGGCACCCAGTGATTGGGTGGCTGCCCAGGGAGGGGAGAAGGAGGAGAGGGTGTGTGCCCAGTCCAGCAAACCAACCTTCTGCACCCACTCCAGCCCCAGCCGGCCCTGCCTCCCACACTGCGTCAGCCCGCTACCTGTCTCAGGCCTCCTTCCCCACTCCACCCCACCTTTCCAGCCCCTGACCCCATGCACCCCTCCCTCCTGTCTTCTGATTCTCCAGAAAAGCCCCTCTCCCTGCCCCTGCCTCTGCTCTACACTGTGTCCCCAGCTACTTGTGTCCCCAGCTACCTGTTTCCCTTCTCAGCCTCACTGCCCTCAGACCTCAGCCCACGACCTGGCATTCAGAGCACTGGCCCAGGTCACCAGGGGCCACCTCCTCCAACCACACCCAGAGGCTCCCTCTGCAGATCTCTTCTTTTTTCAAAAACCTTTTAAATTGTGCACAAAATTGCATTGAACAAAAATATGGAATATAGCCAATTATTATAAAGCCAACATCCACAAAGCCACCATCCAGGCCAAGAACTAGAGCATCAGCAGCACTCTCAGGCCTCCCATGTCCCTCCCGGCCGCATCCCTGCTCTGGCGGACGTGACCACTCTGCCCGCCTCACTTCCTTGCTCTGCTTCTCTGTGCTGTCACCACCTAAGCATGCCTCTCGGATCACTGTGGCCCAACGTCCCCTTTCTAACTTCACCCAAAGGGCGCATGCGTGGTTTTGCTCACAGGGCAGGGCGTTCGCCCCCAGCGCTCCTCCTCAGGGCAGCGTGGTGCCCTCCGCCCTGTCCTCACCTCTCTGGCGATCCCTGACTGTCTCGCCTCCTCTCCGATGCTGTAACGGAGGTGGCTTTGCTCTGTGCGCCGTTGTTCACACTGTCTACACTGTCTCCAGTGGCAGCTGTGTCTATCTGCCCTTCGTGACCTGGCGGCAGCTGACCCCCTCCTTGGGAAGCCGTCGCAGCCTTGGCCTTGGCAGCCTGCTCCCGCCCCGTCCTCCTGCCTCCAGCGGCACGTGCCCCAGCAATGGGGGCCCCTCTTCCCGCCACCACCCTTTGTCCTCGAGCCCCTTCATCTCGACTTTCCCCTACCCCGAAGATCTGCTCCCTTCCCGAGGCTCCGGTCACAGCCCTGAGGGCTCTCTCCCACCCCTCCCTCCCACCAAGACGGCAAGCCCGACCTCATCAGCCGCCTGCTGGCCACCTCCACCCCGGCGAGCCCCTCCTCCCCAACCCAGCTCCTCCTGCCCACTCGGGGCAGGCACCTCCCCCACCCAAGGACCCCAGGCTCCACACCGCCTCCTCCACCACCTCCCTCTGCCATGCCCAGGCCCCCTCAGTCTGCCTCCGCCCACCGCCGAGGTCTCAGCGCCTCCCTGCTCTGGGCCTCCAGTCCCCATCCATCCATCCTCGTCCTCGGTGCTGGGCAGCCAGGGGGTCTTGTCACCCAAAACCTTCCCCAGCTGAGCCCCTTCAGTGGCCTTCAGAACTGAGTCCAGGCTCCTGAGACTGGCCTCCGAGGCCCCCTTCAGGCTGCCCGCTGCCTCTGCAACTGCACCCCTGTACTCATTCCCTCCACTCTGCCCCCAGTAACCCTCCAGCTCTGCCCTTCCACACCTGCTCTAGCCTCCCTGCCTTTGCCACAGCCTCCCCTCTACCTGAGAGCCCTCTCTCCACCCCCAGGTGACTCCTTATCCTTATCCTCCCCGGGTCAGCTCAGATCATCACCACCTCCAGGAAGCCTTCCAGGATGCCTAGGCCGGGAAAGAACCTCCTCTAAGCTCCCCTCTGTCACATATGTCATTGCTGTCCCCTCAGTGTAGATGGGAGACCACAGCAGGCAAGGACAGTCTAGGCCCATCTCTGCTCCGTGGTGCAGCATGGCACAGACAGAACTGGCACACACAGCGCCCAGCAAGCGTTGGTGACTGGGAGGTTATTGTGCTGCTTCCAGCGTGGGCTTAATACTGAGTCTCTGTGACCTTGGGAAGGCCACTTCCAGCCTCAGTCTCCCACCTATACAGTGAGGGTACAGGGCCTTGCGATCAGTGTAGTTGGTGGCAGCCACACACGTCTTTGGACGAGGTGCCTCCGATCCCTCCACACATGCTTCTTACTGCGGGGTGCTTCTTGCATTGCCCCGCCAGGCTTTGGGGAGGTGCTGACCGCCGCCTCCTCCTTAGTGGAGGCCGGAGCTCTGCAAGACGAGAGCAGCCACATAATCACACCGCTGTGCCCCGTGCCCAGGGCTCTTACAAGATGATTGTTTAAAAGAAGGCACTCCCAGGGTGGTGCAGGGAAGGGAGGTACCGTTGCCAGGCACCCGAGGTGCCAGGGCCTGGGTTGGCCCTCCTCTCCCACCCCCTCCCCTCCTCCCTGCAGCACCCCCACTGAGGGGGGTGATTTTCCCATTCCATAGGTGAGAATGCTGAGGCTCAGAGAACACCTGCCCCTCTCTGGAGCCAAAGAGGAGGTGCTGGTGCAGCAGAGGCCACCAGTGCTTGGTGGCAGTGGGCAATTCAAACCCGGAGCCACCTGACATTTCTCACCTCAGAGCCGGGCTCCTGGTGGTGGTGGGTGAGGGGCCGTGGTGGGCGCTCAGGCACAGGCACAGTGGCTTTGGAGTCAGTGCCCCAGAGGACGTGCCAGCCCAGAGACAAGACGGGGAAGGGACTGTCCTGCCCCTCCCCCAGCAGGCTGGGAACGGGCGGGGAGCAGGCAGCGGTGGGGGCAGGACCACAACAGTGATCTGGGGCAGTGCCTTGCGTGTTCTCAAGGCTGGGCTGTGACGCAGAGCATGGCCCTGGAGGGGGCCCAGCTCCAGCTGCAGCGAGAGGTCAGGGCTGCCCACCTACAGGCTGTGGCCTCCCAGCCCAGCTGCGCTGCCCAAGGTCCCCACTGTGCAGGGGCAGGGAGGAGGGAAGCCAAGGAGGGAGGACCGGCCCACACGGTTCCCATGATCATGGAGCACTGGCCAGGATAGAGACTGAGGGGCCAGGGCCAAGGTCCCCCTCAATCACCCTGGGGAGCCCCCACTCTCAGAGCGCAGCCAGGCTGGGGGGCGGGGGAAAGGGACCTGTGGAAGGCCCATGGGGCTAGTCTCCGAGGGCTGCAGTCCAGCAGGGACCATCTGGCCAAGGCGAGGACACCATGCTCTCCCTCCCTTGGCCCTCTCACCCTGGGCCCAGCTTTCTTCCCCTGCCAAGGGCGGGTGTTAGTCACAGGGCTCTGCTCACCCCAGGGTGGCTGAGTTGGAGAACAGTGGGGTCTTAAAAAAGGTTGAGCCCCTGAATTAGAAGAGAGGGTGATCAGATTCAGGCCCAGGGGTAGGACCAGGGGCTGGCGGCCCCTTCCTGGATGTTTCGTGTGCACACATATGTCCCAGCTCTGGATGAGATCATAGTAATTTGCTCTTCGTTTCACAATTGAGCATGGCCATCCCTCTGTGTCAGGGCAGTTAATCTGGGTCATTCTTTGTAACTGCGCCTGCAGGCCGAAGGCTGAGCATGCCGTAGTATGAGACCACAAACTGCGCTGCAGTGAGCATCCTTGAACACGTTTCCTTGGGCGTGTATGTGTGTGTTTCTCTAGGAGATAACCCTGGAAGGTGAGAAACCCACATGGTTGCTGTTGTCATTGTCCAGAGCAGACATGTGAGAGTTTGAACCAGGCTGGAGAAGGAGGGGACAAATTTCCTTTGCCAAAATACCGTGGGCTTCCTCCAGCCAGTCTGCTGAGCCTCTCGGGCCCTCCTCAGTCACAGGACGCCATAATTGAAGATCTAGGGCATAGCGGAGGAGGGGCGGGGAGGCTGGGGACAGTGAGGAGGAAGAGGAAGGGGTCTGGCCTGTTGACTGAAGCAGCCCTTAGAACAGAAACGGGCTGGGACGAGAACAGCAGCTCCGCATTATACCTGCCGGGGCAGGGGCTCCCCACACCAACTCTGAGCCCGCTGCCAGCCCGCTGTCTCCCGTATGAGGACTCTGAGGCTCAGAAGGTGAAGGGCTGCGCTGGGCTTCTGACGTGGCTGCCCACAGAGCCCTGAGCATGTGTGCGGTCCCTGGACTGAGTGTCCCAGTTGGCGGGGCTGTCTGAGGACACCAGATGGGCAGGTCTGGAGGAGCCGCCCTGGAACCCGGCTGGGGCAGGTGCCGGGGAGATGGACCTGGCACAGGCACCAGTTAGAGGGAGCCCAGCCAGAAGGCTAGACAGCGGCAGGTGACAAGTGGTATCTGACGAGCCCCTGCTGTCTGGGGACCCCTCCCTTAGAAGCCGAGGCCTGCCGTGCAGCAGGTGGGAGGCAGTGGCGGGGTAGCCAGGCCACATCCGCAGTCAGCAGGGGCCCAGGTGGGATCTGGGGGCAGAGCTCCGCTACCCGGGGCATCACTCCCCCATGTGTGAGGCTCCCACAGCTTCAAGAAGCCCAAGGCCACCAGGACTCAGCAACTCCGGAGCGAACTCGCTTCCCTGCTCCACGTCCCTCCTCCCAGCTCACGCCTCCTCCTCCTCTCCCCAGACCTTTGTGGCTTCATTTGGGATTGCTTTCCTATGGTGCTATTCAGATTTAAGAAACTCCCTTCACCAAACTTTTTAAATTTTTGATTATAAAACAAATGCATATAAATATAGCTCATGCATCCTCCTAGGTATATAAATGAGCAAACATGAATTTTTCCCCAAATTGGCATTGTACTGCTAATTCATTTTTGCAGCCTGCTTTGGTCACTTGTCAACATATTGTGAAATGTCCATGTCTGAGGGTACCATGGCAGGACTGCGCAGTGCTTAGGAGCACAGGCTGAAGGCCCAGCGGACCTGGATTTCAGAGCCTGGCTCTGCCACTCAGGAGTTTGGTAACCAAGCACAGTACCCACCTCTCTGGGTCTTGGTTTCCCCATCAGGAAATGGGGATGATTTTGGTAGCCGCCCTCACAGGCTTGTCCTGAGGACTGAGGGAATGCACATGGCGTGCTCAGAAGCTGCCCGGGACACAGTAAATGCTCAGTGAACTTCAGATGTTAGGATTGCTTTGATTCCTTTTTGTATTATTTCATCATATTATGGGGGTACAAATGTTTAGGTACATATATTGCCCTTGCCCCACCTGAGTCAGAGCTTCAAGCGTGTCCATCCCCCAGACGGTGCGCACTGCACCCATTAGGTGCAAATATACCCATCCCCTCCCTCCCCCTCCCATCTGCCTACACCCGATGAATGTTATTCTGTATGTGCACTTAAGTGTTGGTCAGTTAATGCCAATTTGCTGGTGAGTACATGTGGTGCTGGTTTCTCCATTCTTGAGATACTTCACTTAGTAGAATGGGTTCCAGCTCTATCCAGGATAATACAAGAGGTGCTAGATCACCATTGTTTTTTGTAGTTGAATAGCACTCCGTGGTGCACATATACCACATTTTATTAATCCATTCATGTATTGATGGGCACTTGGGTTGTTTCCACATCTTTGCAACTGTGAATCGTGCTGCTATAAACATTCAAGTGCAGATGTCTTTTTTTTTTTTTTTTTTAATAGAGTCTCACTCTGTTGCCCAGGCTAGAGTGCTGTGGCGTCAGCCTAGCTCACAGCAACCTCAAACTCCTGGGCTCAAACGATCCGCTTGCCTCGGCCTCCCAGAGTGCTAGGATTACAGGTGTGAGCCACCACGCCCAGCCCAGATGTCTTTTTCATAGAATGTCTTTTGTTCCTTTGGGTAGATACCCAGCAATGGAATTGCTGGATCAAATGGTAGTTCTACCTGTAGCTCTTTGAGGTATCTCCATATTGCTTTCCACAGAGACTGCACTAGTTTACCGTCCCAGGATTACTGTTACTCCTAACCTAAAGACTGAGTCCAGCTTCCTGGCCCCACCTTGCAACCCACATCATGCAGCAGGATCCCAACTCCACCCTGGGTCCCCTGGGCCTAGTATGGATCCTATCCTGACCGCAAGGCTGGTTGGGGGCTGGTGCCGAGGTCAGCTCCCAAGTTGCATTAGTGGAATTTCTGAGAGGTTCTTACCCAGGTCCTCAGAGCTGTGAGGAAAGAGGAGCTAGAAGAGGGAATAGAAGGAGGGGAAGGCTAAGAAGTGGCTGTGCCTTAGACTCTGGGGACCTGGCCCAGATCACTTCAAGTCTCTGCTGCCAGTAGTCTCCCTCTCCTTGAATCTGGGCCCTGGGTCCCCCTAAGTGGGTATCATGGGACAGGAGGTGGCCCCTGGGAGAAAACATTAGTGCAGCTGCCCTGTCATGGCCAGGAGCCAGTTGTAACCACCCCTCCAGAGACTTGCTAAGACTTGGGGGCATGGTTTGGGCTCATGCTGCTTGTAGGCCTTGGGGGTGACAAACTGATTTCCAAGTGTGGGTGCAGAAGTGGGATGGGGGCTCCCGTGGGACAGAGGGCTGAGCTCTGGGCTCTGGGACCCACAGGAGATGAACAACTACCGGCGGGCCATGCAGAAGATGGCGGAGGACATCCTGTCTCTGCGGAAACGGGCCAGCACCTTGGAGGGGGAGAACCGCATGCTGAGGAGCCAGCTGGCCCAGCAGGAGCTGGAAGACGGGCAGGACAAAGCCCACGAGGCCCAGAGCCTGGGTGAGAACGTACAGGCCACCGAGGGCATCCGGGCACCTGCCTGGGCCTGTGCTCTGGGTTGTGCAACAGGGCGGTAGGGAGCTTTTCCCAGGTGTGCATGCAGCTGGATTGGCGCTAGTTAGTAGGAGCCCCGCATGCTCACAGACACTCACCCCGTCCCGTCCCCGCCGGGTCCTCTGGGGGGGGGGGGACAGAGTGCAGGCCTGTCTCAGGCCCAGGGCTGACAGCGCCTGCCCTCTCCCCGCTGTCTGCCAATTTGGGAGGGGCCCTCCCTGAGCCAGCTCCCGCACCCACCCAGCAGCGTCCATGAAGCAGAAACTGCTGCTGAGCGAGACGGACATAAAGACACTGAAGGACAAGGTGCAGCACCTGCAGAATGAGCTGATCCGAGTGAGCTGGGGCTCGGGTGGGGAGGGAGCTGGGGTGCGCAGCGTTGCGGGAGAGGTGTGTGGGAGCAAGAGGGACGGCAGGGAAAGGAAGTAGGCGCACAGAGGGAAGGGGGCCCAGCCCCCTGGAGGACTCAGCAGAGGGGCCAAGGGGACTCCCAGGCACCCATTCCTTTCCCCTGCCCCACAGAAGAATGATCGAGAGAAGGAGCTGCTCCTTCTGCACCAGGCCCAGCAGCCGCAGGCCGCGCTGCTAAAACGGTACCAGGACAAGCTGCTGAAGATGAAGGCGCTGGAGGAGACTGTGCAGCACCAGGAGAAGGCAGGTGCCAGACAGGCCACCCCCAGAGGCCCCCAGCGACAGCAGGCTGTGGAGCCCCGGGGCCAGCCCAGTCTCTGCCTTGCCCTCCAGGTGATCGAGAAGATGGAGCAGGTGCTGGAGGACAGGCTGCGGGAGAGGACCGGGCCGCCGCCTCCCAACAGGCGACGTGAGTGAATCTGCGCCCAGCTCTCCCCCGCCCTGGGGGCCCTGCCCTCCTGCAGGGCCCACGGCTCAGCTACATCTGTGCATCTAGGAGACCCGGGATCCTGCCACTGCCCTACTCATTCAGGCACTGAGACTTCTAGAGGTCCCCTGGGCTCCCTCCTTCCCTGGAAGCCTCTCAGGACACAGTTGGGACACAGTGTGTGAGCCAGGCTAGACAGAGGCTGGACCTCCCCGGGGGAGGCCCCAGCAGACTAGAGCCGAGAGGGGTGCTTCCCAGGGAGCAGCAGTTCCCAACTTCTAGCTCCAGGACACTTTGAATTGTTTCCCCATGTCCTCGTATCTTCAGAGATTCCGCCTCTGCAAAGCAAACAAACATGCTTGATTAAATCAGTGATTCGTTGCGGTATTTTTCCCCATTGATGTTAACCAAAGCCACCTAGAACTGCCAGTCAGAGGTGGCTCTGATAAGCAGGAAAGAACCAGGTGCCACCACTGGAACAGTCCAGCGCAAAGCAAGGGACTTTGCAGAGCCGCCTGTGCAGCCTCATCATGGCCCCCGTGTGGCCAGCCCTGAGCTCAGCCAGGCAGTGGGTATGGGGGGTGGGGGTGCTAAGGGTCTTTAGAAAGCTGGGCCAGACTTTCAGGGCCACTGAGGTCGTCGGGAGTCTAGGTGAGAGACAGGAAGGCAACCTAGGGAAACAGCCTAGAAGGACAGCCCAAGGAATGTGGGCTCCATCGTGCTGGCAGTAGGGAGCCACTGGAGGCTTGAGAGCAGAGGAGGGGCAGATTGGAGCAAAATGCTGGGGCAAATCAGGGCAGGGACATGGAGGCAGGAAAGCCCATCTCACCAGCAACTGTGGCCTTGTCTACAGCCTTACCCATGCTCTCAGCCTCTGGCCTTCCCCTGGGTTCTACCAGAGAGAGCCTGCCCAGTGACCTTTACACGGTGCTGCTGGCAGAAAACTCAAGGCTGCGGACAGAGCTGGACAAGAACCGCCACCAGTCGGCCCCCATCATCCTGCAGCAGCAGGCCCTGCCGGTAAGAGCTGCCGGCACAGGCTTGGCCTGGGCCTGCCTGTGCCGGTCACCGGGTGCCCGGTGCCCAGCAGTCACTCACAGCACAGTCCAAGGTGGAGAGCAAGACCAGGAGCTCGGCTTCCCAAGGTCTCCACTCTGCCTGGAGTCTCCTGGAATCTGAGCTCTCAGGCCTCGCTCTTTTCCTCCTGGGGAACACGCGCACCTGAAACCTCCGCCTCCACCTCCTCCAGCTCCCTAGAAAGCAAGCCCCTAGCTGACCCTCAGTCCTTACACCCTGACCCTCTTGCCGGCTGGCCTCCACCTGGGCTCCACGCAGGCCTCTCAGAACTCCCTTCTGAGGCACTTCCTGGGATTGGCGCAGCCTTGGAGAGCCCTTTCCCCCATCCCAGGTGGACCCCGGGGAGTTGGGAGCAAGAGGAGACTTGGCAGAGAGGCTGCAAGAGACGGATGGCCCAGGCCACTCCAAGTGCACAGAGACCCTGCCCACACAGGTGGGTGTCCGGCCAGAAACGCCCAGGCCCGCCCTGCTCCAAGGCCGCTCCCGCTGCCTTCCGCTTCACACAGGCCCAAAGGCCACCTGCGGGACTGCGGACGAGGGCTGGGGTGGGGCACGGGACAGCTTTCTCTGCGCGCCAGGCCCCACCTTGAAGAGCTCTGTCGGGCAGCACACCCGATGTGCAGACATCCGGGCCAAGAGCAAGAGGGGGCTGGCTCCACAGACTCTTCTCTTCACAAAAAGACCCGGTTCCAGGTTCTCTGCGTGCACCAGAGGAGCTCCCTGAAGTAGTTCACACCTAAAACCCGAGGTGTGGACGCTCCATGTTCCCGAAATCTGTGGGGGAAACAGCCGTGGCAAAACCGCGTGTCAGGCCCCTTCGGGACCTCAGGGACAGGGAGCGGCCGGGCCTGAGGCTCTGCCCCGGGGGGCCGAGGTCGCAGCTCAGAACCGGCTAGTCTCCCCTCAGCACCTCATAATTCCTGAGCTCATGGGGCCAGCAGCCCCCAGCAGGGCCACACATGACTTCTGCTTTGCCCACAGGATCTCCTCAGCAATTCTTCAGACAGGTTTAATCTCCTGGCCAAGCTGGAACGAGCTCAGAGCCGGATCCTGACCCTGGAGAACCAGGTAGGTGAGAGGCAGGCGGGGATCACGCCGGGCAGGGCTCCCCACACAGCCTGTGAGCAGGGCAGGGGGGAGTGTGAGCAGGGCGCGGGGAGAGGCAGGAGCGAGCAGGCAGGAGGCCGTTGAGCAGCAGGGGCGGCTGGAGCAGCAGGGGCGGCGTGAGCAGGCAGGGCGGCGCGTGAGCAGGCAGGGGGGTGGCAGGCAGGCGCGTGAGCAGGGCAGAGGACACGTGACAGAGGCGGGCTGCAGGAGGACGCGCGTGAGCAGGCAGGCGGCGTGAGCGCAGGGCGGTGAGCAGGAGGAGCCGTGCAGGAGGCGTGCGCGTGAGCAGGCAGGCGGCGCAGTGACACAAAGGCAGGCGGCGCGTGCGCAGGCAGGCGGCGTGTACAGCAGGCAGGGGCGGTGAGCAGGCAGGCGGGTGTAAGAGGCAGGTGTGTGAGCAGGGCAAGGTGTGTGAGGCAGGGCAGGTGGCGTGTGAGCAGCCAGCGTGTGAGCAGGCAGGACGGTGTAGCAGGCAGGGTCGGTGTGTGAGCAGGCAGGGGCGTGTGAGCAGGCAGGACGGGTGTGAGCAGGGCAGAGCGTGTGGCAGGCACAGGGGGGTGTGTGAGCAGGGCAGGGATGGCGTGTGAGCAGGGCAGGGTGGTGTGTGAGCAGGGCAGGGTGGTGTGTGAGCAGGGCAAGGGGGTGTGTGAGCAGGGCAGGGATGGCGTGTGAGCAGGGCAGGGTGGTGTGTGAGCAGGGCAGGGGGGCGTGTGAGCAGGGCAGGGACGGCGTGTGAGCAGGGCAGGGGTGTGGACTCAGGGTCCGGGGTCAGTGCATGCTGGCGTGCAGAGAAGGTCCATCTGTGTCTTATCATTTCGCCTGTGCTGCCCGTGAGGTCCCTTGGGAAGACGTGGAGCCCACCTTGCCTGGTGCTTTGCTTCCACCCGGAGAGCAGGCTCAGGCCCTCTGTCCCCGCTGTCAGAGACGAGCCCTGCGGCCCGGGTCCTCAACCGCCCTCTCTTTGTCTGCAGTTAGAGGACTCAGCTCGACGCTGGGGCCGAGAGAAGCAGGACTTGGCCATACGGCTGCAGGAACAAGAAAACGGTTTCCGGCACCCTTCAAACTCCATCACCCTAGGACAGCCAGTGAGTGACCCTTGTGCAGGGGCTCCTGGGGGCTCCGGCGGTGGACAGGAAGCCACCCCAGCCCCCACGTCACTGTACCCTGAGGAAAACCGTCCCGGGTGCCAGTTCCTGCTGTGTTACCAACTAAAGGCCTTTCTGGGCCTTTCTCATCTGAGGGACACAGAAACTCCCAGCCAAGGCCACCCTCCCCCACAGGGGCCGTGAAACTCACGGAGGAGATGACTGTGGGTGAGGGTGGCCACACAGCCATCTCTGGGTGGCCTGACACTGCCTGTCTTTAGGACTGGCTTTGCCCGTGGTGGAGTAGCCTGTGCCCCACACCCCACGGTGCCCTTCCCTTCGGAGGCGCGGTGGCTGCTCTGCAGGTGTCACAGGAACGGCCAGCCTGCTCACAGCAGCCCCTCGGGCTCAGCCCCCAGCAAAGCGCCTGGCTTCTCCTGCTCCTAAGCCAGTGGTGCTTTGCCCAGGGCCAGAGGCTCAGTGGCTCCTGGGAAAGGCCTGAAAAGGACAAGGGAAGTGACAGGGAACACAGGGCTGCCCTTGCAAACGCACCTCAGCCCTGGGATTCTTGGACAAATTGTCACCTGCTGTGATCAAATGAGTTTAGAAATCTTTAGGAAGCCATGGCCCACTGGGTTCTGGACCCTCTGAGGCAGGGCTTGCCAGGCAGGATGCCCTTGGACAGGTCACCCCCGAGAATGGGGGCACGCTCACGTGCCTTGCTTTGCATACCACAGATTGCCTCCACCCAATCCAAGGACCTCAAGCAGCCCCCAAAACTGGAGCCCGTGCTGCCCAGCTCGGACACTAAGCTCGACAAGCCCTCGAGCTCCCAGGAGATTCCTAACTCTCAGCAGGCCTGAGCACCAAGCAGGCCTCTTTCCCTGAGTGCTGGACAGCCTCACCCCAGCCCCTAAAAATGACTTTGTTATAATAAATGCTGTAGCTCCATGTGCGTTCACCTCTTTCCTAGGGTGGGGCAGCCTGGGGGCCAGCTTTCTCCGCCCAGGCTCCGAATGTGGTCTGGGCCTCTGCGGCAGCCTCACAGCCGCCTGCCTGTCCCAGGAGCTGGCATCTTCGGAAAGATGCACTGACCCACAGTCGCTCCAGGACAGTGAAGAGAGGACTTCTGAAGCAGGGGCCAGGGAAACAACCCCTCCTAGACCGCAGAAGAATTGAGGCCAGCTCTGTGGGAGACATGGGGGAGGCTAGGACTTTCCATCTGCCCTAAAACATCTATCATGTCTGAAGTCCCTTTTTTAGAAATAGGGTCTTGCTTTGTTGCCCAGGCTGGAGCACAGTGGCGAAATCATAGCTCACTGCAGCCTTGAATTCCTGGGCTCAACCAATCCTCCCACCTCAGCCTCCCGAGTAGCTGGAACTAAAGGCATGCACCACCACACCTGGCTAATTTTTTATTTTTTGTAGAGTTGAGGTCTTGCTATGTTGCTCAGGCTGGTCTTGAACTCCTAGCCTCAAGCAATCCTCCCGCCTAAGCCTCCCAAAGTGCTGGGATTACAGACATGCGCCACCACCCTTGACCTGAAGTCTCTTTTTTCAAGTTTGGTTTATCTGGCTCTTGGGAAGGGAAAGACTTGGAGCCTCGCTGCGGCAACCAATTACAAATCAGTGTGAGATATCCCATTAACCACAGCTCTGCTGAGCTGGCAAAGTTGTGTCACCAGGGATAAGAAAGTAGATGGGGCCAGGAGAAGGAGGACCCCCGTTGAGAGTCAGGAAGCCTGGGTTCTAGCTGCAAGTATGCTGTGTGACCTCAGGTGACCCAAGCAACCTCTTTGGGCTTCATTTTCCCCATCTGTCCCATGCAGAGCTTGCCCTCTTTTGCAGTAAGGCTCTAACATTCCTGAGCGAAAGCTGACTCAAGCCCAGAGAAGAAAAGGAAACAAGAAGGAGAGAGAAAGACAACAAGGAAGATGGTTATGTGGTGCAGGAAGAAGAAGGCTCTGAGAGTGGGCCCAGCACCTGCAGACTGGTAGGAGAGGCCAGGCCAGCCAGACTGCTGTCCTGGGCTGGACTAGCCCCCTGTACCTGCAGGCTTAGACGTAGTTAGCCAAGGATCAGGAAGAATCGGGTCAGGAAATGCAGCATGCAGACGGAGTTAAGGGAGCTGAAGTCGAGACCAGTGTCCTGCAGTGCAGACCATGCACCAAAGACTGCTGTAGCCCCTGCCTACTGCCCAGACTGGGCGAGCGGGCACACTTCCCTGGAGCAAGGAGACGAGGCCCGGGGCAGGCCTAGAGGAAAGTCAGGAGGGGCAGTGGAATTTTGCCGGCCTTTCGTCCCCAGGGCCGGTCACCTCCCACCAGCGCCTCGGTGACATGGCGTCTCTCCCACAGCCCTTGGCCCTGGCCATGCCCAACTTTCTGGCTAGGCCTTGGCAGGATGTCCTCATGACCCCACAGGGGACTCCCACCCAGGATTAAGCCAAGCAGAGCCCTGCAGGAGCCTCGCCCCTGCCGGGTGGGCCCACCCAGGAAAGCAGGACTGCCCACACCCTCAAGCCACCCCGTTCTCTCTGAAGAACCCCACCAGCTCCTTTGTCCCTCTGTCTGGTGCTTCAGTAGCTCCCAGCACCCCCGCCTCACCCCAGCTCCAGCCTGGAGCTGGTCCTGCTGGCTCCTGAGCTGCTGTGGGTCGGTGGGTCACAGCAAAGATGGCTTCAAGTGTCCTGCCTTGATCCCCCGAGTGTACCCCAGATCCCACTGTTGACCCAGGGTCAGGGAGCATCTCCACAGGAGCAATGAAACCCTTAGGAGTCTGATGGAAATGAAAACATCACATAGTTCAGCCATTTATTGTCTTCGTGAGCTGGGGCAGGCAACCACTGAGAGCCCAATCCACCTGCTCAGCGGCTGGCAGATGCAGCCGGGCTGGGGACAGAGGACTGAAGATGTGGAGACTCCAGGGGCCCGCCGCCGGCCACCGTCTCTGATCACGCCAGGGCTGCGTCCTGCTGGATGGGCCGGAAGGTGAAGACGATGGGCTTCTCGGGCGTCAGGATGAGGTTGAACGTGGTGTCCACATTCCTGAAACTCTGGGTTTCAACTCTGAAGTTCTCCAGCATCTGAGAAAGGCAGGTGGTGGGCTGAGGGGAGGCCAGGGGAGAGTCTGTCTCCCTAAGCCAAAGCCATTCACCGGTCGGCAGTGCCGGTCGGCTGTGATCTGAGGAGCAGAGGGGCTTACCACCAGCCTCGTCAGCCCTGCACGTGCTGAAGAACACCGCTGGTGTTCTGGTCTCTTGATTTAGGGCTTGACCTTAACTAGTCTGCAAAGCCCTGGGCCCACCCACCTCCCGGTGTGGAATGGTGGCCAGAGGGCACCAGCGGGTATGGGGGTTGAGCCCAAAAGAGGGGGCAGCAGGGAACTGTGGGAGACAGCCAGAGCAAGTCATCAGAGGCAGATGTGCCCAGCCAGCCCTGCACCCCGGGGCCCTGGCAGACGGGAGGAGGAGGGCTGGTGCCTCTGTTAGGGCCAGGGTCAGGGCAGGGGGCCCAGAGTCTCCAAGCTTGACTCACATGGATAAGGAAAACAGTCATTTCAAGCTCAGCGATCCGCCGGCCCAGACACTGCCGCACGCCCCAGCCAAAGCCTAGGTTCCGGAAGTGGGTGATGTTTTTGTCTTTGTTCAGCCATCGGGTTGGGTCAAAATTCCACGGGTTGGAGAAGAACTTAGGTTCTCGGCCCAGGGCATAGTTGGACACCTGCACCAACGTCTGGGGCAAGGCAATCAGAGGCCTGAGTGGGCCCCACCTGTCCGCAGCCCTGAGCACAACACCCAGGTCCCAGCCCGCTTGCTCGCCCTGTCCCACCCCCAGCGTGGCTGCCCAGACGCCCAGAACAGGACATTCCGCCCATTCTGTGGCCCCAAACAAGGTTCCACCCCTCCCTGAGCCTCACCCCCCAAATAGGGATGGCTGCAGACACAGGCTGGGATGACCCAAGGGATTGTTCTACCCTTTCCTCAGCCCCTGGGCCTCCTGAGACTCAGGCAGACCATGCGGTCTCGCTCCTAACCCTGGGCCCCCGCAGTATTCCAGAGGTCATCGCCTAGCGTGCCCGCCACCTCTGCCCTGCGTTCACACTTGGACTGCTGCTGCCGCGGGCCCCACCAGGGCCCCACGCCACCCTCTGTCTGCACTTGCAGCCTGCCCCAGCCCTCTCTGTCTAACCTGCCCCTCCTGCAGCCTCCTCGCTGCACCTACCTTGGCGGGAATCAGGTAGTCGTGAAGAACCAAGTCATTCACAAGATACCTCTGCAGGGTCACAGAGATGGGGTGCAGTCTGCAGGAGGAGGGCACGCAAAAGCTGATGGCCCTGAAGCCTGGACACAGCCCTCCCCCAAGGCCCACACCCAGCATGGCATTGCAGCCCCACCTGCAGCAGCCCGGGGCGTCTGCAGGCAGGACCTGGGCTCTATTCCCCCTTCCCATTCCCAGCTGTCTCCTCCGGACTTCCCACTTCCTGCTTCCAATCTCCTTCCCCCAGCCCGTCCTTATAACCCTCTGGCGTGCACCACCCTGGCTCTGCCTGGTGGTTGGGGCTGGCAGGACAAGGGTGGCTGTGGGCTTGCCTCAGTGTCTCCTTTATGCTGGCTTTGAGGAGCGGGACCAGCTGCAGCATGGCGAGCATGTCTCCCCGGGCCTGGCGCCGCGCAGCCAGGACCTCTGCCCGCAGCATGTTCTGCACCTTGAGGCTGTGTGCCATCTCGTACAAGTGCCACTGCAGGGTCATGGACGTCTGGTGGGGAGTGTGGGGGTGCAAAAGACCTGTCACTCTGGGGCACCTTGAGGTCCATGACCCATGCTAAATTTTCATGTCCAAAAACCTCTCTCCCCAACCCTCACCCCAGTCTCCAAGACCACCATCTGCAAAAGAGAAACACAATTCAAACGGCCAGGAAGCCTTTCTTGCCTCCCAGGCAGGAGGTTTGGGGCAGCATCTGTCCCTGTCTCTGCCCTCATGTCTCCAGAGCCTGTCCATCTCCCCGGGCAGGAGAGTCCACTACACAGCCCATGCCTTCTGTAGAGGCCAAATCCTACTTCTGTAATGATTGTAGTCTGGAATGACTGCCATTCCTTTTGAAAACCCCGTTAAACAACCACCCCTCATCGCAATAGAACTTCCCCAAACCTAGCATTGGCCTATAGCAGGATAGCCTAAAGTAAAGCGCAAAGATAATGGTGCTTCCTGCCAGTGTTGCAACCTGTGTAGTGTATGCCGGATTAACTCCTCTCAGCGTGAGCCAGAGGTTGTGACGGTGAGCCCTCGCTGGAGGTATGAGTGACCCCATCAAACTCCACAGTCGCAGATTCCTCAGTGATGACAAACTAAGCCCAGGTGGGGCCCCAGCCTGGAGCAGCCCTCCCTCCTGGGGCTAGGACACGCGTTGTTGGCACGCTCTCTTATCAAGGATTATATTTTTGTCCAAGAGGCTTAGAGACACTCCTCCCTCCCTCCCAGTAGGGCAGCAGTGAAACAGTGTCCCCAGCCCCTTCCCCGCTGAAAACCCTCGCCTGGATCCCAGAGCGTCCAGAGGAGCGCAGAGGCTCAGGCCTGCCCCACGGGCGACAGCCCTGCCGCTCCTCCACCTCCCACCCGCCCCTCTCCAACCCGCCCTGCTGCCCTTGCTACTCGGGCCACACACGTCTGCCCCAAAGCCCCTCTTCCTGTGACGCCCTTCCCCGCCCAGGAGGAAGCGCATGCTCCTTCTCCAAGACTCCAGGCAAATGCGTGTGTTTGCCTCAGCACCTCGGGCCTGCCACAGAGTAGGTGCTGGGAGCTACTTGCTTAGCAAGGCAGTTAACCGGGTTAGCGCTGGGCTACTAAGGCCTGGAAGTGTAGGAGAGAGACTAGGGAAAGCCCCTGGGGAGCCAGCCCACGCAAGCCCCCCGGCCTCCCAATCCCGATCTGAGTGAGCTGTGTCCTCCCTGGGAGCTGGGGGCCCAAGGCTGGGGGTGTGGCGTCCTCAGCTGGGCTTCCACAGAGCCTGCGGAGGCTCCGAGTAAAGACTCACGCGGGACCTGGGCCACGCCACCTACGCCGGTCACTCCTTTCTCACACGCAAAGGAAAATGGCTGATCAGCCTCCAACACGCCCCACCCTCCTTCGAGGAGGTTACTGTCTGGGGAACGTGCCGGGAGAGGGAGAGAAGTCACCCAGGGTCCGCGCCCTTGAATGGCGGGTCCTGACAACCAGCAGCGGTGGGAAGGAGCATGTGGGCACAGGAGGGCCCGAGCCGCGCCCCTACGGCCACCTCACCGTGTCCACGCCTCCAGCCAGCAACTCAGTAACGTTGGCTTTGATGTCCTCGAAGGGCAGCTTGTTGTTTCTCAGGAGTCTGTAGAGGATGCCAGGGTAATTGTCGCCAAAGTCTCTTTTCTGTCTCATGTCCCGGTAGAAGTTCTGGGTGTATTTTTCAGCTGCGGGGCGGGAGAAAAGAAAGAGAGTGAGGTTCCCTGCAGGCGGGAGGGAAGGAGGCCCTCTGGTGAGTGGAGGTCGGGAGGCTGCCGTTTGACTGAGCACTCACTCCACACTAAGCCTTTCATATCTGGTTTCTCAGTGAATTCCTGGGGTACGTGACATCATCCCTGCTTTACACATAAGGAAACAGGCACAGAGAGGCAGTCACTGCCCAAGGTCATGTGGGTTTAAGGGGCCCTCAACGTACCCCAATCAGCCTTCTCCACCCGACCTCCCCCATCCTCCCACTGAGTCCTAACCCCCATCACCCACCACAGCCCTGGCTCAGACACTGACCCTACACCCTCTGGGCATCAGGAGCTCCTTTAAAAAATATTCTGGGCTGGGTGCAGTGGCTCACTCCTGTAATCCTAACACTCTAGGAGGCCAAGGCAGGTGGATCGCTCAAGGTCAGGAGTTTAAAACCAGCCTGAGCAAGAGCGAGACCCCATTTCTACTATAAATAGAAAGAAATTAATTGGCCAACTAAAAATATATAGAAAAAATTAGCCGGGCATGGTGGTGCATGCCTGTAGTCCCAGCACCTCAGGAGGCTGAGGCAGGAGGATCTCTTGAGCCCAGAAATTTGAGGCTGCTGTGAGATGGGCTGACACCATGGCACTCTAGCCCGGGCAAAAAAAAGTGAGACTCTGTCTCAAAAAATAAAATAAAATAAAATAAAATAAAATAAAATAAAATAAAATATATCATGGACATCTTTGCTCCTCTTTCTCCAAAAAATCCTAATCATCCCCAACAGCCAGCCTTCAGCCTACTGTAGCCAGGAGTTCCAGGGCCTTCTTGACACCCGTCCACACCCACCAGCCAGTCAGCACCCTCTGCTATAACTTGGGACAAAGAAGCCAGCTGGGCCTGGGGCTTCCTTCCAGCCAGCACTCACCCGGCCTGAGTAGACAGGCCTCTCCCGGCACCCACACTCGTCTGCCCAGCGCACAGACAGGAGCCCTCACCTTTACTGAAAATCACATCCCACGCAGCCACATGATCCCTCCAGGTCTTGGCCTTGAGCAGACGGAACAGGTCTGGGGGTAAGGTGAGCAGGGGGACGCTGGTGTGGAACATCTTGTATATGGCATCGATGAACTCCTGGGCCTCGGGGTCCACTATGTCCTCCATCATTCCCAGGCGCTCCCCAAATATGACATGGGTGATGGCTGCACGGGGAGGCAGAGATGAGGAGCCCCTTCTACCTGGCCATCTGAGGGCCTCAGCTCACAGGGACTCACAGCCACCTTCCCCACTTGGCCCCGTAGCACACAGGACCCCTTAACCCACTCTCAGCCTCCCTCAGGAAAGAAACTGAGGCCTCAGTCCCCAGGGCTGAGAATGCAGAGCTGGGGAAGGCTGCCTTCTAGGGCTTTCTAGGACCTTCTAGGACCGTGGAGACCCTGGGAAGGGACCTGAGATGGGAAACGGGGTCTCCGGCAGAGCCAGAAGAGGCCCAGGACGGGACGAGACCACTCCACCCACCCTTCCACAAGAGAGATTTCTCATCTGCAATGGACTAAATTGGCTAAATGCCTCCGGAAACCTGTCAGATGGGAGACTGAAGGACATGAGTCCTTAGATACTTGGCCATCCAAGACCCAGTTTGGCTGGACCTAAGAAGTCACAACAACATTAAGTTTTTCCCACCTACCAGGTAAGGAATTTGAGTGCTGGTTTCATACCAAGCCCCAGGCAGCCCAGACCTCCTGCGTGACCACAGGGTCTTCATTAAGCTGCGTCGGCTTTGCACATGCCGTCCCTCTGCCCATACTGCCTGACTCCCATAGCCCATCTGGAACTCTCCTACATGTTCTTCAATGCCCAACTCAGATTAACCTCCCAACCCTCCTCTCCCCTACCAGACTTTAAAGGTCTATGTCCCAGGAGAGGAAGTCTTGCAGAATGAATGGCTAAGCCAACCTCCGGCTTTTGGAGGAGAGTGGCAATGGAGACTTATGCTCTGGGGACCCTCATCCCTGCCGCATGGACGCCAGCCGAGAAAGGGTGTGCAGCTGCCTCTCGGTAGCTGGCGATGGGGCTGTGGTCAGCCGTCATCCCAGACGCCAATCTCAGTGCTTCTGCAGCGTCTAGGCTGGGTCTCAAGGTAGAGAGTGAGTGCTGGGCCCTCACACCCGCCCCACGGCCCCGGGCACAGCCCCTTACACTCGAAGGCAAAGCGGAACAGGTCCTCATTGATGTCCCCCGAGAACGTCTCAGAGCCCTGCCGCTCGATGCGCCTGCGCAGGACACTGATGAAGTCCTGAGACACTGCGTCCAGCAGGGGCACAAAGTTCTTCCTGGTCTCTGGAGCCATCATCTCCTGGTTCAGGGCCAGCCGGTCGGTCTTCCAGGCTCCCGAACTCCTGAGAAAACATGGGTCCCCAGGCCCTCGTGGGCACAGGCCCCAGGCCTGGCTAACACAGAGGGGCTGACTCAGCATCCCAAGCTCCTGTCCAGCCCCTGCCCTCACCCCCCCCTGCTCTGCCTGGCCTGGGAGGAGAAGAAAGAAGGTGAAGGAGCACAAAACCCCAGCTCCCTCCACTCCCCCTGCAGCTGCGGCTGCAAGGCAGGAGCTCCTGTTCTTACAGCCCTCTGAGCAACTCCCGGGCTCCCCAGCCTGTGCCTCGGCTGCAAGCACCCCTTCCACGCCGCCCCCCTCCTCCTGCTCAGCTTAGCCCGGCAAGGGCCCCCCTCGCTCACCTCTCCTGACTCTCGCAGAGACAAACGGATTGCCCTCTCCTCCCCTGCACCTCCAAAGGGTCCCCTTATTCAATCGGTGGGGAGACTTCGGGGCCCAGAACCAGGTTAGTCATAAACCGCAGTTCATGGCACACTTGAAAATCGATCCACGCAAAGCCCTCTTTATCATTTGGCGAGTTTTGGTGGTGGCTCTAGTTGTTTATAAGAATGTGATTATAAACTTATCGCCCTCCTGAAAACTAAGAACTTACAGTTATCCACTTGGTCCTTCCACATCCTTCGTCACCTTCTAAGGCGACCACCAACCTCAATCCCTTGCTCTCTTTTGTGTATAGTTTTATCTGATCTACACTTATTTCTAAGAGGTACTTTCTAAAAAGGTATATTTGTTTTCAACTTCTTTTAAAAAATGCTGCCATGCGTGGGGGGACTTGCTTTGTGCACTCAATTTTGTCCAAGTGTTATCTGTGTTGTGGGTGTGGACCACCATTCCCTCATTCACGCTCCTGCTGAGCACTTTGTGGCCTCCTGAGTTTGCTATTGTGAACAGCACTGCTGCAAACATTCTAGCATGTCCCCTGAGGGGCAATAGTCTCAGAATACATCCCTGAAATCAGAATTGCTGTCACAAGTATGTGAATATTCAATTTCAGGAGCTAATGTCCAAGCATTTTCCAATGTAGTAGCACCAGTTTACACTCCCACCAGCAGTGGATGGGAGTTCCAGTTGCTCCGTAGCCTCACTAATACTTGGCGTGGTCACATTTCCAATTTCTGATGAGCAGTTTGGTCGCAAACGGTATCCACTACACTTAAATACACTGATTTGTCCCTGTTTCCACTGTCCCCTTAGGCTGTGCGGGTCTCAAGGGGCGTGCCCCATTTGTCATGGTGTCCCCAGTACCTGGCACAAGGCCTAGCACGCAGTGGGTGCTCAGTAGAATGGGACTCAGCAGGAAAACCAATAAATGAGAACTTTGCAAGGTCTTTCATTATTCATTAAGCTCTTCAGCCTGCCACCTCCCCAGAGGCTGGCAGGCTGGTTCGTCATCACCATCATTTGTTTTAGGGAGGAAAGAAGACGGCTGGGCTTTGCCTAGAGGCCCTGCTAGGAAGTGCGGGGCAAGCCTGGCCCCAGCCCCTGCCCCCCGCCTCTGCCCTCCCACGGCTCCCATCAGTCTCTCTGGCCCCTGGGAGATGGATGATGGCTCAGGACTCACTTCAACAGGACTCCCAGGGGTCTCTGGTATTGCTGATGATAGGTGACCCAGGGCGGGATGAGGTAGCGTTCTGGGTTGGGACCCTCAGAGTTAAAGAGAACAGCCACATCTTCGGGGTCAATGATGTAAACCGATTCCACGGTGCCAAGCTTCTCCCTGGAGGGGCGGGGGAGGGGCTGACGGAAGCATCCGGGAAGAGCGTGGAGGCAGTCCTCCTGGCCCACGACTTCCTGGCGGTGTGGCCTGAGGTGAGGCCCTCAACCCCCTCTGACTCTCTGTTTCCTCTTCTATAAAATGGAGATGAATCTAGTACCTGTCAGGCAAGGTTGCTCAAGGAGCAGACGATATAAAGTAGGCAGGTGTGACCTCTGTTAAGCGTTGTACAAGTGACAGCCCACACCTGCGGCACCATGGCCTCTCACTCGCCCACAGAGCTCAGAACCAGGGCACGCTGCCATGTCACCGCTGGAGTGACTCGCTGGAGCTTGCTGCAGAGGCCATATCCCAGACCAAATCCCTCCCAGGCTCTAGGAATGACATTCCAGAGTGACCACCCTGCCCCCGGGAGTCAGATGCCACCAACGACACTTCGTCTCTGTTAAAACTACGACAAGACATCAGGCCCCAAGTACAGATACAGGCAGGAAGAGGGGACACGGTGCACTCTGAAGACAGTTTCTGTGAAAATATATGAGCAGGAGATGAGGACACAGACAGGCACAGAGGAAAGACCACGCAAAGACACGGGGACAACGGCATCTACTCGCCAGGCAGGGAGGCCTCAGAAGTAACCGACTCTGTTGACACCTTGATCTCAAACGTCTAGTTCCACAACTGTAAGATAATAAGTGGCTGTTGTGTAAGCAAAAAAACAAATACAACAACTACAAAACAACAGAGGATTCCGCTTCTCACTTGCTTCTGCCTTTTGCCTAAGAAAGTTAATTCAAGATATATTTTAAGGCAGAATGTCACTAAGACGTGCAGATACAAGCAAGTTCTCTCTGCCACGGTGCCTCTTTACCCCCTGAGAAACCTGGCCGACCTTCCCAGGGCTCAGGCCTTCACTTGTTCTGTGGCCGCTCAGAAACCCCGCTAGGTTTCTCCAGCCTCCAGCCAGCCCCTGCGGCGCCCCAGCCCAGCCAGGGCCTTGAACTGCTGTTGCTATTCCGCTTCCACTCTGGGACTCCAGCCCAAGGCAACGACCTGCCATTTCGCAACAGTGCCTGACGGATGGGGGTGTTTATCCCGTCCCAGCATCGGGATATGTCTGAAAGAACTGGCTGAAAAAATATCCACACTGTGGACTATGACGCTGCCTTTTAAATGATATCAGAGAAAACAAGAAAGAAGCCCTTGGCCCTCCGTCTGAGCAGCACCCAACAGCGTGCATGGTGTGTTCACAGTCCTAATGGCACCTAGATGTTATCGCAGTTGGGATTGTAACTGACTTCACTTTCTCATTTGTGCTTCTCTGTATTTTCTAAGTTGCTTTACAAAAAGGCAGGAGCAGCCTTTGTATTAGGGGAAAACCGCACAAAAGCTGTAGTTTAAATTCCTCACATTTACTCAGAAGTTCGTTATTCCTAGGCTACAAGTTACAGTGCTATGCACAGAGCTGGAAGTCAGACAACCCCGGTCCTGGCCCTCGCTTTGCCCTGATGAATTGTGTGACATCGACAAGACCCTTCTTCTCACCGGGCCTCAGTTTCCCCATCTGTAAGATGAGGATAACACCAACTTCAAGGACATGTTGCAAGATGCAGATAAAAGTGACTCAGAAGATGGAAAGGGGCTTAATGAAAGAGGGAGTAGAGGGGGGAAGGGGAAGGGGAGGAGGCAGGGGTGGCAGGGACAGCTAGAGAGCTGCTGGAGTGGGGCTGTGGCAGGCACCTGGCAGAGAGAGGGAGGAAGCAGGACACAGGAAGGAACCTTCCCTGGAGCCCAGCACTCAACCCAGCGGGTCTCTGCTTTCAGCCATCTGTAGGAAACCTCAGCTTGGACTTCAAAAGGGGTGTGGGACACAGGGGAGGGAGCAGCCAGACCCCAACACAAACAAGCCTGCCCTTCCACCCTGAGCCCAGCCTCAAGCCAGCCAACTCTTCCTATCTGTCCTCCCTCCTCCCCCTTCAGGACCAGCCCATTAGAATCCTTTGAGTTGTAAAGACCCTTTCACTTAAAATAAAATGCATTGCCCCCTGGTCTTCCCTACTAGCCCCAAACCATCACCCCTCCTCTGCACTGGTCGCTGAGGAAAAAACCCAGGTGTGGCTTGAAGACTGCTCAAAAACAGCTAAACCAGGAGCTAGCCATAGGCCCTGAGGGCTCAGAGGCCAAAGACCATAGGCCCTTCCTCCTAGCAGGAAGTAAGGCAGAGGCCTGGGAAAGGGAAGGGGCAAAATCAGCTGCTCCAGAGCGCCCCAGGGCTGACAGGTGAGGTCAGCACCCCAGGAGGCCCGATGGAGCTGGGTGACTTCTCTGAGCCTCAGTCTCCTCCTCTGACCATGGGTCTAACAAACTTACCTTACAAGGTAAGGTGTCCTGAGGATAACGGACACAGGGAGGCACTTGGGGCTTGTTCTCTTGCCACCTCCCACCCTAAAGTTTCAAGGGAGGTGGGACTTAGGGAAGGTTGAGGCCTCAAGCCTAGGAACTGGGAAGACCCCCCTCCTCTTACCCCCATTCCAGGCCTGGAAGAAATAAAAGCAGAAGGTGGGAAGGAGTCTGGGTCCGGAGCGCACAGCCCTAAGACGGGGGCACGGCGGGCCTGCCTGGGCCCTCCGCCTCCCACTCCCGCCAGCCCTCCCTCTGCCAGTTTTACCTGAAGATGGGGCCATACTTCTGGAAATTCTGGAGGTGGTGGTGGTGGATTTTGTTTGTACCTGTCTCCCTCCAGAAACGATACAGGTTTAGCCAGCCGTTGTCACCAGGGGAAGGGATCTCATTGTAGGGGCGAGGACTTCGGGTGGAGATGCCAGCGCCCTCGCCAGTGGGCCCCCTGGGATGCCACGGGCCCCCACGGGGGGCATTCAGGAAGGGCTGGTAGCCTTTGACCAGGACTGAGCGCAGGGGGAGCCCCCTAGCCAGCATGCTGTCCCCGCACTGCCAGTGTGCCTGCTCCGCAGCAGCAGGGCGGGCCGGTGACGCTGGCCCTGGGCCACCAGGGGTAAGCTTATAACCCCCAGCTCAAGGCTAAGCGAGAAGCTAGGGCAGCGTCCAGCCTCCCTCCTCCTTTTGCGGCTTCGGCCCACACACAGCCCCTCCCAGATGCAGGGGACGAGCCTCGGGCTGGAATTTCAGCGTCCAGAGAGGCTCCCCAAGCCCAGGGAGACCCGTGTCTCTGTCCTCAGTGCCAGCCGTAGCAGCCCCCTGAGATGATGTCCGTGCCTTTGCCTGTGCGGGGTCCCCCGTGGCCCCACCAGTCAGAGGTGCGCGCAGCCTGCGCCTGCAGGGAGTGAGGGGCCCAGGAGGGCAGAGGCGCTCGGGGCTCTGGGGCAGCACGCGGCTCGTTCCGGCTGCGGCCCTCGCTATGTGCAGCTGCGCTTTGCTGAAAGACGGGGGCACGTTCTGAGAAATGCTTCGTTAGGTATTGGTAATTCTGTCATTGTGCAAATATCAGTGTGCACACGGACCTAGATGGCACGGCCTGCTACACTTGCAGGCTGTGTGGGGCAGCCCGCGGCCGCTGGGCTGCACACCTGTGCTGCGTGCCGCTGTGCTGCGCGCCGTAGGCAGCTGCAACACAAGGCCAGCGTCTGTGTGTCTGAACATAGCTGAATATACAGAAGACAAGTAAAAATATGGTGTTATAGTCTTGTGGAACTAATACTGCATAGGCAGCCACCGATGACCAAAACGTCATTAGGTGTCATTAACCTGTATAAATATGTGTGTGATTATAAACTGTTTTTGTATAGTTCCCTGACTTTTAAAGTTCTACTTTTTTCTGTTGCAACAAAAAAATACTCTGTATTTGCTGGAAATGTTGTAAGTGGCAAGTATTGCTATTATCATTTTTTAAATTACAGTTGTATTTGTTCACTGTAGAGCACTGAGGAAAAGAACAAACAAGAAAATCACCATTCTGGGAGGCTGAGGTGGACAAAGCACTTGAGGTCAGGAGTTTGAGAACAGCCTGAGTAAGACAGAGACCCCATCTCTACTAAAAATAGAAAAATTAGCCGAGTGTGGTGGTGTGCACCTGTAGTCCCAACTACTCGGGAGGCTGAGGCAGGAGGATCGCTTGAGCCCAGGAGTTTGAGGTTGCTGTGAGCTAGGCTGATGCCATGGCACTCTAGCCCAGGCAATAGAGTGAGACTCTGTCTCAAAAAAGAGACTATTAAGATCCTCTGAGTCCTTAATGTGAAAGCGGATAGAGACAAGGGACTACAAACTGTTGGATTCCATTTTGATTAGGTTCGAGAATTGCCGAGATTAATTTATGGTATTAGAAGTGGTTCTCTTTTGAGGTAATGACTGGGAGAGGGCAGGACAGAACTTTCTGGAGTGTTGGAAATGTTCTCTTTCTTGAGCTGAGTGTATACATATGTAAAAATTCACTGAGCTATATACACTTGTGACTTTTTGCATTGTATTGACAAGTTACCTCAATAAACAAGTAAACAAAACATCTGCATCTTTTCCTAACAGACTATTTTTCCTAAAAACACAATGGCCTTTACAAAGAGGACAGAGATTCTCTTAGCAGGAGGCAAGTCCAAAATAAGCTTTGATCCGGGTTTCTCTACCTTGGATACTGTGAGAAGCAGAAGGGGACCTCTGGCTCAAGGGACAGCAAATTGTCACTTCAGGCAGAGCATGAAGTGGGCTACCCTGACACAGCAAAGAGAACAGGGGGCGGGTACTGCCAGCCAGTGGCTCTATAGGACACCGCCACCCGGCAGGGAAGGGGCAGCGGCTCATTCATTCATTGGGCCTCAACAAGGGTAGCAGCATCGCCACACCTGAACAGTCGTCCCACTGACCCAGGTGACAGCCATCGGTCTCTCTGTTTCTGGGGCCAATGAATGTGGTCCTGGCTTTTATCAAAGCACCTAGGCACCCAGGACTGGGCTGTCCAGGCACAAATTCCCACAGATTTTTGGAGATTCTCCATCTAATGACTCCATACCTTGTCTCAAGGCAAAAGCCAGAAACTCTTTCCCAGCATCCTTTGCCACTGGGATGCAGGCAGCTGACTTGGGCTCCACCAATTAGATGCACCCTTGTGAAATCTTGGCCGACAAGGCAGGCACAGTGTGGAACCCACTCTGACACAGGGAGTGGCAGAGACCTTCACCCTGGTCCCTGCGGGGATCAGTGGGTGGCCACCAGGGCAGTTCTGGGATGTGATTTGAGTGATATTCCTGACACCCCGGAATCCACCCCCGACTATTCACCCTCCTGGAGATTTTGTGAATGACATAGTCTCCCTTAATAAATTCTTTTCTTGCTACATATTAGCTACAGTGACTCCTGTTCTTGACAACTAAGAACTGTGAATGATATAGTAGTGAACAACTAACCACATTGCTAAGAGCTTCCCATACTCTCACATCTCAAACTTACCTGAGTTGAATGATTTTGTGCCATTCTACCTTTAATGTCAGCCCTGTAGTCTTCAACTCATTAATGGGAGTTGACAGAAAGAGGGGGACTGTTACTGTGATGCTGTAGTTTTACCACCCTAGATAACCGGTGTTTTTTGTTTGTTTGTTTGTTTGTTTGTTCAGACAGGGTCTCTCTCTGGCACCTGGGCTAGAGTGCAGTGGCGTTATCATAGCTCACCACAACCTCAGACTCCTGGGCTCACGTAATCCTCCTGCCTCAGCCTCCCAAGTAACTGGGACTACAGGTGCATGCCACCACGATTGGCTGATTTTTCTATTTTTTGTAAAGACCGGGTCTCACTATGTTGCTCAGGCTGTTCTTGAACTCCTGGCCTCAAGTGATCCTCCTACTGAGGCTTCCCAAAGTGCTAGGATTACAGGCGTAAACCATTGAGCCCAACAACCACCCTTAGACAACTGTTAAAAAACATTTTAGTGTGGTTCCTTGCAGTCTTTTTTCTAATTAATTCTTTGTTTTTTCCTTCTTTTTCTGAGTGATTAAAATTCTATCTATTTATTTTTACTTCAATATATAGTTTTATCAAAATAATCCAGGGCTGGGCGCGGTGGCTCACGCCTGTAATCCTAGCTCTTGGGAGGCCGAGGGAGTTCAAAACCAGCCTGAGCAAGAGCGAGACCCCCGTCTCTACTATAAATAGAAAGAAATTAATTGGCCAACTGATATATATATAAAAAATTAGCCGGGCATGGTGGCGCATGCCTGTAGTCCCAACTACTCGGGAGGCTGAGGCAGAAGGATCGCTCGAGCCCAGGAGTTTGAGGTTGCTGTGAGCTAGGCTGATGCCACGGCACTCACTCTAGCCTGGACAACAAAGCGAGACTCTGTCTCAAAAAAAAAAAAAAAAAAATCCAGGGGGGTTGAAAAATTCAAGTAGTTCTTGTATCAGTCAGGGTTCAACCAGAGAGGCAGACCAATGGGAGACAAGTAGTAAGAGATGTTTGGCTTAGGCAATCACAGGCTGGCTGGGCAATCTGTAGGGCAGCCCGTCAGGAAGGGCAGGGTGGAACCCTGAGTCACGGACCGAAGCCACCATCCACGGGTGGAATCTCTTCTTCAGAGAAGCCACAGATCCATCTGAAGACCTTTCAACTGATTGAACCAGGCCCACCCAGCTTGTCGAGAATAATCTCGCTTATTTACAGTAAACTGATTTTGGACTTTAGTCAAAAACATCTGCACAGCAACACCCGGATTAGTGTTTTTTTGATTGTTTCTTCTTAGAAGCATCTTGCAACCACTCACATTCTCCACTCCAGGCTACCTTGCTCTGAGCCTGGGCACGGCTGTCATCCGGGGACCTCCCTTCACCATCGCACGGAAATTTCCACTTCTTGCTCCTGTTTTCCTCATTCCATGTCTCTCCTGCTTTGCTGGAACAAATCGTTTCGTATCTTTCTTTGAAAGAGTACATGAAACCCATGTTTGTGAGGCTTTGCTTATCTGACAATGTCTTCATTCTGCCCTCACTCTTGCTTGAGAGTTTTGCTGGATATAGAATTTCAAGTTGGAAATAATTGTCAACATTTTAAAATAATTTTTGAAAGCATAGCTCCATTGTCTTCCACTTTCTAGACATGCCGTTAAGTCCAAAGCTCCTGTGATACCTGAATTCTTGCATTTCTTCTTTTCATTCCCCTCTGGGAGCTCTCGGGCCTTTGGGCTGCTCTGAAATTTCACGACGCACATCAGCTCTCAGGCTGGATACTTGGTGAGCCCCTTCAGTCTGGAAACTCATGTCCTCGAAGCCCTGGAAATGTTCTTGCATGATTTATTTTATAAGTTTTCCCCTCCATTTTATCTCTTCCCTATTTCTGCAACTCCTATTATTTATATATGAACATCCTGGATTTACCTTTACTTTTTTCTTTTTTCTCCCACATTGCATTTCTTTGTTCCACCTAATGAAAGATTCTCTACTTCAGCTTACAACCCTTCTGTTGCAATTTTATTTCCATTATCTGTTCTCTAGTTCCCGAGGGCCCTTCCTTATAGCTGGATGTGGACACAGTATGGACGTAGTAGCTTCTCTTAACGCTCTGAAAACGTTGACCGTAGTGTGAGCTCTTTGTCCAGTTTTGTTTTGCTGTCTGCATAGCCTCTATTCCCCTGAATTTCTTTTCTTGTTTGTTTTGATCCCTGCCTTTCATGTTAGAAGGTTCCTCAAACGTCTGCTGATTTCTGGCCATCCATTTGAAGTCCTGCCCAGATTCTAAATTTAAGAGTCAGGACCCAGATGACTGGCCAGAGTTTGGAACATGCGGGGAGAGTTCAGCAGGGGCTTTGGGGCAGGGTCACCACAGAGGACTCTTGACAGATGCCAGTGTCATGACTGTCTAACTTCTCACTCAGACTGGTCATTTTCTCTACAGAAGGATCCTCCACCTCCAGTATGAGGCCTCTCACTTGCCTCACCATGGCTGGTGTCCACAGGTCCAGAATCTTCTTGGTTCAGTGAATGCAGACCTCAGCACATTGACCCAGAAGCCCTCCGGGAGTTCTGTGCACACAATTTCATGAGCTGTGTTTTCACCAAAATTCTCATAAGCATTTCCCTTAGTAAAGAGGACATTAAATGCTCCTGAGACAGCTGTCGACTTTTCTGTTAGCTGAATGCCATTATCTGTGCCTTATTCTTTTAAGTTCAAAACTCTGAGGTTCAGAGGTCAACTTGGACGGTTAGGTGGGGTGACAACCCAGGGTGGAGGGACAGGTGCAGTTATTTATTCCAACACCTGCAGCATCGACATCTCCATTCCAGGCATGGGGCCAGGTGAGGGTGGGGAACAGGCTCCATGGGACATGCGGGCCCTGGCCTTAGGGAGGCTTGGTCCAGGGGGCAGCCTGAAGCAGGAGTGGCATTGGAGGATGGGACTAGGAGGGGGTGAGGCTCCTAGGAAGAGGGCGGGGGAGGAGAGCTTAAAGAAGGAAGGAGAGAGCCAGGAAAGCACTGGGAAAGAAGAGTCCCAGGAGGAGAGCAGATAAGGTTGTCCAACTGCCAAAGGAGAGGTTGTGGGATCCGGGTCGGTGTTCACAGTTTTCGTTTTCATTCCTGCAAGTTTCTGTGCCATCGCGTTCCTGCACCTTGGTGCTTTAAGGAGAGCCGACTCTCGAAAGCTCAGAAGCCAGGAACATGGAGCAGACCCTGCTCCCTGCTTGCGCTAGTGAAGGCAGGGGCCGCAGTGCGGTGGGAAGAGCACCAGCTTATCTGGCCTTAGGCAACCCCACAGGCCTGGTCTACACCAGTGGAAGCCAGTACACTCTGTTAGGCACTCGCTGTGTGCGGGGTGCTGTGCACGCATTGCCCCACTTACTCCTTGCAGCCCACACACAGGTCGATTCTAATACTTTCCCCGTTTCACAGATAAGGAAACTGAGGCTCAGACAGGATGGACACTTGCCCAGTGTCATAGTGCTAACTCGCAACAGAGCTGGGATTCAAACCTGGGCTGGCCTGGGCTAGTCCTGGGCT